CACTTCAATCCTTTCAATCCCGGTAGTGTTCTGTAATTTCTCCCAACAATTTCAATACCCTATCAAGCAGACTGGTAAAGGAACAACTAACGAAATTTACTTGGTGGTACGGTTTTGAAGTATGAAACAACATTCAGAGCAATAGCAAGGAACAGAAAATATAGCGTTAGTTGGGAAAACTATTTTTCTGATCATGGAAGTGAAAGGATTATCAAAGGTTAACTTTCTCTGGAGTAAAAACAACAAACGTTCGATCTGTATTGAGCTGGGAGGGGGGGGGGTGGGGGTGTATACCTGCCAGCTTTTCTTCATTCTGCGTTTTTTTTTTACCTGAAATGAAAGGGGGGCGGGCCCCTCCCCTACATTCGCCACTTTATGCTTTTGTTTAGAATTGTCCTATTATCACTTTTGTTGCTACATCTTACAAATTAAGGCCGTGCAATGATACTAATAAGACACAGGTAAGATCTCGAAAACTACATAGATATAAATTGCAACATTTCAAACAGAAGTCTCAAAGCTCAAAGTATATACAGAAGAACCACAGCTATTATACCTTACTTGCATCAATTTACAATACTTTCTGCATCAAATTCATCGCTAGTGTATGCAATATTGACAGAATCGGAGTCAAAGTCTAAGTTGAACATAAATGATCCCCTGGAAAGCAAAACGTAGTCACTGTAAACACCTCGCGCGTACTTAAATTGACATTGGGATAGATTTACCCAGCCAGCACTTAATCACTTGCTTTTTCATACCTAGTTTCATTTTCACTTTATACTAAAGAAGCTTTCCTATTCTTTTCTTTTTCATAGCTTTCCCAGATAAGAGGGATCACCCGAACAAAAAGGCTATGAAGGACTTCCCAGAGAGAATAAATTTCGGGATGGCTGCAAGAGTTTGCTTAGGGTTCATAACGTTACATGGCATCACTTGCTTCAGAATTTGGGAAAACAAAAGTCAAGGTAAGGGTAGTGAAGATGTATTATGTGTAAGTAACGCACATATCTTGCGTACTCTTTATCTTGTAAAAAGCTGGTTTTCAACAATCTAAACCCGAAAGTGTTTAGTAGGTACAGTATTTTGTGCCTGTGGCACAAGTGTTGCCCATGTGATTTCACTATGCTAATCATCATCAAGATTTACAAGGACCTCCCTTGACCCATTTGCGAAGAGGCAAACGAGCGATTGAACATCCTGAAATTGACCTTGACTCGACGCATTTTTATCAAATTCAGCTACGGTAGGAAAATTTTTCATTTTGCTCATTTATTCCTTCGATATTTTTCCCGAATCTTGCAACAATTTGCAAGAGCCCGAGAGGTTGTTCTTCCGAAGACACATTTTACAAATTTTAAAAGGAGCTTGAAACGTAAACCGCTCTTTCAGCCGCCCTAAGCCGTCCAAAGAAATGTATACACGCACTGTACATAATGTTGAATGTATTGTATGCTTCGATACCACTCTGACCAGCTCTTGATCGCCCTTAACAGTAGCCACACGAAGTATTCAACGGCACCCCTACAGTTTCGACTGAAGGCCAATCGCGGGGTCGTTTCGAAGTCTACTAACGCGTTGCTTATAACGCAGAAAGGAAGAATAATGTTAAGTCGTCAGTGCACTTCACGCATAAACGTATGGTAAGGTATAAGCAGGTCGCCTCTCTCTAGGTCTCAAAACTTATATCGAATCAAAACCATGAATTTGGGAACACGCAGCAGTCTTTTTCAATTAGCAGAATGCACCCTGCTGTTAGACGACTTGTTCGACTCAAACCGTTCCACATTGGAACGTCAAAATATTGCAGACACGTTGACAACGCGAACATAAAGGAATTTTTGGTCGTAGCTACAGAGCAAAATTTATTGACACACCCTTGATAAGTGTGAAATTTGTACAAGATAAGTAAGTATGAAATTTGTAGAAGAAGAACAAAACACTAACCAAGTCTTTTTTGCTATACTGTAGAGTTTTCGGAGCAAGACCGATGGCTGACATCAACAGAAGCGTAAGTACCATACGTGTATATTTAAACGCAAAGATTTCTACCCGTCCTGCTGTTGTAGTGCACGTTGTTTATCAGTGTAACGCTAACCTTAATTCTAAGCATCTTGTAACCCACCCAATACAGCCACTTCGTTGCCTTTTAAATTAAAGATTTGTTTTGCATTCCAAGAAAGTTAGTACTTTAACAATTTTAATGGAGTGCTTCTTCGAGTCAATCGATTATTTAAATGAGTGATTTCGAGAAAAGCGTGTAATACAGCTTTGGGCTCTTATTGCAGTAACGATCTTTTTGTATCGAGAATACCCATGCTTATGTTAGCAGTAACTTGCGATTAAAGGCAAAATTAATTTTCCAATGAAACCCACCTACTGCACTTCAACTAAATCCTTTCTTCAGTTTTCCTTGTTGCGGCGAATACTGGAACTGTTTGTGTTTCAGGAGCAGCATGGATTTATGAACACAGATCATCGGTAAGTAAAACAACTCTTTTTTCAGTTTGCACATTTCTATAAGAAATCAATTATACTCACATTTTAAACTGTACCCTATGAATTGTTTCTAGATTAGATTTACATAATCACGATAACTATAGTTCCACACAATGCATATGTATTTATAATCTTTTAGGAGCAAACAATGAATTCATACACTGTGACTGTAGTCTAGTGCACACTAATTATCCTTCGAATAAGAAATTTTAATCTTGCAAGAATTATTTATTTCATACCTCTAAAACTTAGCATGAGCATGTATATGTTCTTGTAATCTATATATATGTAGATACAATCTATAGATATGTACATACAGTCTAACCTGTATCAAGTAGCACGGTAGTAATCACCTTGTATACCGCAGTTGATTGTTAAAGACCCGAATTTGCTTGCCTAAATCACAGTAATTTGC